TGAGCTACTTTTGATATTTACCAGTTTTATGACACTTCTGAGGACTCTCCTCAGATAAAGATTCATGTTCAGGTAAATTGGTTTTGGCAGGTGCTGTCCATAAGCTGATGAATCTAAATAATAAACGGGATCTTTGTTGACCTGAAATAGCATTATGCTAAGCTGTGATAAGGCGGTTGCTACCTGAACAGTCCCTACAGGTCATTATTTTTAATCAGTGCCATCTTCTCACTCTGTTACCTCTGGCTTATCCGATAATGTTTATCAACAGCCGTTTGGACCTGCCAATAATATTTAGCAGCACTGCTCGAGGCCTAAATACCAGAGATAAAATATGCAGCGCTGATTTTAGGGGATGTGAAGACAGATATGCAACGCATTTTGAGTCAGCTAATATCAGTTTAAGAGGGCTAGTAACCTTAGAAAACACCTACAGTAGAGTGTGAATATTTAAGTGACTGGCTCGTGAGTGATGGTTGGTGGAGAATGGAGAATTTCCCCCAAATGTGGAGAAAAGAATACATTTTGAGAGCAGTGGTGTGAATGTGTGTGAGCTTGTGTACGTGCGGTTCCATCCCACAGGCTAATAATCATTGCTTCTCTCCAGATGGTGGAGTGTACCCAACTCAGCAGAAGTCTTCCTGCCTCTTCGGGGCAAAGACAGTGGGGGGGGGGGGGGGGGTAGTGTGTGTGTGTGTGTGTGTGTGCATATAATGTGAAATACTGAACTGTCATTTACTGAAAATCCTCCAGGACATGAGTATCTCACGGAGAAGAAGGATGGGAAGCCAAATTAGAAAGTGGCTTTGTTAACACATACCTTCAGTTAACAGTGCCTTAATGTGCACATCTTTATTGTGAGTCCAGTACGATATATAATTTGTTGCCATCATTGATCCAGAACTGAACTGCGACCCTCATTTTCTGTCCTCACAGAGAAAGAAAGCTGCTGCAACAAGAAGTGAGATCCTGTTTTGCCTCATCTTTGCATAAATACAATCACAGTTATCGTAGTTAGTTGGTTAATATTAGGAGAGGATGCTTTTTCCCAGTATTGTAGTTTGTAACTGTATTACAGTTTCAGTTCTAAAACCTGGAAGACCAAGTAAAACTGAGACAAACCTTAAGAAGAAAGTAAATGTCCTTAATTTATTCCAGCCTTCATGCTAACCTTTCAGTTTTCTGTTCTGGTTTGGCTCAAGCGGGATCTTTATAGAATAAAGTTCAATGGTAGATTGAACAAGAGGGACACAGTCGTACAATCTACGCTTTGTTTGAACATGATGATAGTGGTATTGTTTATATGCACTCATCTTCATGCACTCCACCTCGAAGCCTCTTGAGTCTGTGCATCACTGTGCATTGTGATTTCTGAGAGGTTTTTGTTTACTTACTCACCACTGCAGCTCATATGAAAAAGTGGTACGCTTCCCTCTGTTTATTTACTGCACAGATTGTGTGGTTACTTTTTCTCCTTGCTTGAATATAAATACAGAACTAACAACATACAGCTTTATATCTTATTCACACGGAACCTGGAAAAGGTGGATTTTAATACTTTTGCTGCATATAAATTGATCAAGCCACAAAAAAATCTTTTACAAGTTGGTAACTGCGTAAATCTGCAACTGCTCTTTGAACATGCCTCGCTTGAACAAGATCTCAATGAGCACTTTAAAAGCACTTTAAAGTAATTATATTGATAATAACATGCAGGAGCTGAAGTGTATTGCCATTAATCCCCTGACTTCAGTTACATAATGTTTTATAGAAGAAAGTACCTCTACAAACATTATGCAAAGCTATCTCATTCACTGAGCAACATTTATTGATATTCACTCCTTTTACAAGCACTTTTTGCACGATACCAGCACAAAGGATTTATTTTTCCAGTGTGTGACGAGCAGCTCTGGGCTTTGGCTGAATGACAGGTGGAAATGGGCTTCTCTCACACTCCTGTCACAGTGCTGACTGGTGATGTCAAAAGGGCTACCTGTGGCAGAGATGTCCCTGAGAATAAATGGGTTACAGAACACCCACTCAGTGCTATTACTACCACTGCTTGTGGGTTGTGATGAAATGATTCAATCAGCAGTGCACTCACATTTACCCATGCTTGCTTATACATAATACCACCTAAAATCACATCTACAAGCGCTAAAACGCGATGATTTAGGCTGGCACATTAGTCATGCTGTGTCTACAGAGCAGCATCTGATGACAGTATATTGTGTTATTTCTATATATAAAAAAGAAACCGTGCTGACCTCAGTTTCAACTTCTCTGGAGATAAGTTACCTCATAAAACTCCTATATCGTGCTAAATCTGAAAATGTGAGTGATATTTATTGTTTGCCTTCACAATCTGATACAAGCGCTCAGTGCTGAAGGACTTAAGTGATTCACAGTAAATTGCCTTCTTCGTCTTGCCAAGTTAAGTTCCCACTGGGAGAAATGAATCACTGCGAGAGAATTAAATCTCGTCTTGTCTGGTCCTCTCCTGTGCCAGAGCTATAATACCTTTTTAACGTCACGATAATTAGTGTAGCCATGCAGAATTAGAGGATGAAACAAACAAGACGCTCTCTGTTGTGTGTGTTGAACAACTGCCCTCTTTTGGTAGCACTGTGCACTCTCCCTTTATCTTCAGAAAGATAAGACTCAACTTCCTCCTCCTAGCATCCTTAGATGTTTAGTAATTAAAAAGAGGTCTTGTTTTGTTGCAGTAAAGTAGCAGACATTTTCAGCGGTTCAGTTGAGTTAGGGGAGTACAAGTGATGTGTTTGGATGCTGGGTATGAGATGGGTATTGTGCATTAGAAGGTTGCCATCTAGAGGCAGGATACAGACAGTGCATGGGTCTGAACTCAGCTGTGTTGGTTGAATCATTTCATGAGATGAGATGAAGAAGCGTGTGAAGCGAGAGGGCTAGAGGGGAAAAGACACTCTTTGCCTTCCTGTACTACAGCCTCCTTACTGCCTCACAAGCACAACTGCACACACAGGCGTAAACACACACGTGTACGGTTGATAGACAGATACCTCAGAGGTCTCGGCAGTCCTCAGGGCAGCCAGTGGTCGGTGACGTGGACACGCTTAATGTCAGTGCTTAACTGTCAGGATGAAACACCTACTAACCGGGAGCTGGTGACTCAAGAGAATTGTTAGTCATAACTAAATTTAAAAGAGCAAGGCGTTCTCTACTGTCAGGGATGTATTTAATTCATGCCAGCGACATGCACTTTAAAACAAATTGTGACAGTGTGTCATTTGTGTTTTCTCATATTGTTTGACCTTTAATTTAGGAGAAGAAATACAAACCTGTGACTTTTTTTTCCTCTGTTTTGCTTTCAGGTACCCTCAACAGTATTTCCTGCTTCACTGAATGCTTTACTTTCATGTGAGCCTCCTTTTACCCCTAGGTCCTCCTTTTCAAAAGCTTGAAAGCAAGGCAGACTGCTCCCTCGCCATATGTATGTGCATATATATATATATATTTGAAAAGTCTCGGCTCATCCGTGCTGCACAGTTACTCTCAGGCATTTTGACGCCGATCAGGTATAGTCATTAATTTGAGACATTTTTAAACAATGACAACATGCAGCACATCAAACACGAGGCGTGATGCTATGTCATCAACACCTCTGAAGCCTTTATGCTTTATTTTCCCTCTCACACTTATTCAACCAGTCCAAACCTGTCAATTCGGTCGCAAAGAGAACTGTTAATTTTAGTCATATCTTCTGTTTTGACAAGCTTTTAGGTGTTTGAGCTGCGCGCATCAGCAATTAGCTGGAGACAAGCAGTCCTGATTGTCCAGAAATAGAAGAGATGAGGCAAAAATAGATGTCTCTTTTTATTTATTTATTTATCTTTGTCAGTGTGCTTCACAAAAGCTGCACTTCACTGATAAGATTTTCTATTGTCAATCTGCTTTAGATTGCTGCAGCTCTATAGATTAGTGATGTGAACCAGTGGCTTTGACACAGTGCAGCTCTCCCTCAGCCCCGAGACAATGAGAATAATCAATTAGCCTTTAATCAAAGCCCGTAAGGATTTTGTAGTAATGACAAATATCGTACGTGTGGTGTAAAATATCCACAGACATTTACGCCAAAGATGCTGAACCAATGTAAAATGCAGATTTCATATTGTAAGTTGTAAACTCGTTTGTATATCAGCGGGGACCGTCACTTGAGAAGTCTCTGTTGCACTGATCACAGGGATCAGTCATCAGTAGTTTGTAATGAACTTAACGATCTTGTTGAAGATTTTGTTTTTAAGCTCACATCATCCAAAAAAAGAAAAAAAATCATACTTTCTTCTCATAGACTGAATGCAATAAACAAATTAGCTTACACTATTAGTATAATTGCAGCATAACATTTATGCCAATACATCAAAATGAAGAAAATGAAATGTATCAAACCCAGAGGGAGGCGTGTTGGGACGCTGCGAGGCGTTAAAAATGAGTTTATGCAATATGACAGTCACATCAGCGTTCCTCTCTTTAACATTGTTTTCAAGCCACTTTAGAGATTTTTGTGCACAAACATGATGCCTGACATGTGAATTCCTAAGTAGGTCGTACTCCCCTCCACAGCCGCAGAGCCAAGTTGCTCAGTGTGCTTCCATCTTCAAGCTCCATCTGAATTCACTCTATAAGGCACAGCCTTGACTTCGCTTCATCCATTTCCCCTTTTACCACCATACAGTTCCCTCTCTTCCCATTTTCTCCATCTTGCTTTCTCTGTGTGTCTTTCCATCCTTCCTCTTTTTTTATTTCTCTTTTCTTTTTTGTTCACCCCCATGCACAGAACCAACCTCCTTCTCCTGCATGGCACCCCCTCCTATCTCCATAGTTTCAATTTCATCTTGTTCATCAGTTTTATTGGATTTTAATTGGTTTTCCCCTTTGTCTCTCTCCCTCTCTTCCTCTCCCTCTTTCTCCCTGACGCTCTCTCTCTTCCATTCTCTCTGTTTTCATCTTGGAGACAGTGGTGTGCATGCAGCCTCAAATCTAAGTCACTGCCTGTCAGGCTGCTCCGTTTATGCGCTCTGCGACTCTCTTTTCCTCTCCTCTCTCCTCAGTGCTGTGCTGCACTGCATTCCTCGTCTCTCCTCTGCCCACATCTCCATCTCTCCTCATTCTCGTTCTCTTTTCCCTCTTCCTCTACCTGCATCTCTCTCACCCTATGCGCTCTTCTCCCTGTTGTGCATTGCTGCGCTCTGCTCCGCTGTTTGGGAAAATACTCTACCATCTCATTTTTTTCGCGCCAGAGCTGAGTGCACTTCAGCTACTGGTGGAAGAGGAATTAGATGCTCATGGAGCTCCAGGTTTGACTTCCCTTGGATTCCTTGGATCTGTGTGAGCTGGAGAGGAGGAGAGGGCAGGAAGGGAAGGAGAAAGGGGGCAGAAAGCTGCTCAGGTGAGAGCTTCGTGTGCTTGTGGAAGTAAAGGCTTAAAGGTGGTGGTGCTGGTGACGTTGGTTGGGGTTAGTGGCTGATGGTTGTCCGTCAAGGGTCATGCCCTGGGACTTGCGTGCTTTTCGGCAGTTGGAGTTGGAGACCCTCTCCCATTTTTGTCCCCCTTGTGGGGTAACATTGATCCTGGTGCCGGGAAAAACTGCCGGGCACCAGTGGCTGAACCGTGAAGAGTGGACACCATGAACCAGCTGGATGCACCGCGGCCACTGAACTGGACCATCAGAAAACTGTGCCATGCAGCCTTCCTACCATCTGTACGCCTGCTAAAGGTAAAAGAACATGAAATTTAAAAAATAGATGCCTGGAGAGATTTTGTTAAATATGTCATGCAGTCCTCCTGCTATCCTGATGCTTTTCCAAAAGAACATAAGTAGAAAGAGGTGTGAGGGCACAAAATGAATGCTGATGAAGCCGCTGCGCTTTTTGGTGCATACATCAGTGGATGCAATGCAGTCATTAAGAAATAATAGAGGGGATAATGTTGTTAAAAATGAAGAGAAGTGTGGCAAAGCTGTCGGTGTAACACTCTTAGAGGGAAGCTTAAAGGTTTTGGAAGTAGATGGCTGTGCAAAGTGGATGCGCAAAGAGTGGAGGATAAAAATGGAGATGGGAAAAGCGAGAGCATGATGCTACAGAGGCACGGATGAGAGATTGGGATAGAGAAATTAAAGAAGTGTGATAAAAGAGAAAATGCAAATAATTTAATTATTTTTTTGCTGATAGCCAAAAAAAGAGAGAAAGAAACCGAGAGAAAGAGGAGGAGATGGAAAGACATCAGAGAGGGATCCAGTCTTAAAATAGCAAGAGGGTTACACAGAGGGTGAAGGTGGAAGCATGAAATGTCGAAATAAAGTGAGCGAGAAAAGGGGATGTGAGAAGGGAAAAGAAAAGGTAGATGACAAACTGAGGAGGCATGTAACGAGTTAAGAGAGGATTTGTGGGAATGGGTGAGCGGGAATGTAAAATTGGAGGTGGCAGACATGACTGAGGAGCTTTAGTAAAGAAGTGACAACAGAAGACAGATTTTAAAATGAATTCTGCCATGTACCTCGATGTAAAGAAGTTAGAATTAACCAGGTTTATTTGGGTTTTTTTGGTGAACAAGTGTAAATTCATCTGTGTGCCTGAGCATGTGTGGCTGCCTTTGTGTAAGTGTGATTTGTAGCCTCTGCAAATCTACAGTGCAGTCTTTATAACGCTTGCTTACTGACATTTGTTACCTAAATCCTATTTTTTATGCATTTCTGTGCTTTCATAAGCCAGTTACAGGCACTCTGTAAGACGGTCTATTGTCAGAGGTCTTGAATGGCTCTTCTTCAATGTCCTTTGAGCTAGCTTTATCAAAGTGTGTCACACAACAGTATTGCTGTGATGTTGAACCACACAGCCAGCAAAATCATTGTATGTGCATTAGGATGTTTTGTGTGTGTGTGTGTGTTTTAGCATGTGTTGTGAAACTTTACACGAGAGGTTTGTTTTCAGGCAATTTTATTTCAAGAGTGAAATGTTTGTGTAAGTGAAAACACTCCAAACATCAGTGAATTGATACAAATGTTTTTGGTGGAACATTTCTTCTTATTCGTGGAAACACTTGCCAAATAGATTTTTAGACTCAAGAGTGTGAAACTCTTGAGTCTTCTGGATTAGAAGAAATAATATTTTACCCACCTAAGCTTTATCTGGCTGTAGCAGAGGATGGAAAGTGAGACTTTTTGAATTTCGTGTAACAAATGATTCCCTGGCTCATCCAATAGCTAATCAGGACATATTTTTATCTTAAAAAGCACAGACTGTATGTGAAAGATCCAAGTAGCCACCAGGTCTAAAAAGAAAAGCATTTCTTTCTAATGACCAGCAGGGGCGCTCTTCTGGTTCCAAGAAGAAGTCTGATTGTAAAGAAATCTTTGAGGAAGTGATTTTAATTCCTACTGGATTTGTTACCCCAGTTAACATGTTCCAGATGAGTTTATGGTCTCAAGATTGAGTTTCAGATCTTTTTAAATACAGCATGATATTCATTTTTGCACACTCTGGTCACATTTAGTGCAAAATGGATGATACACTTTAGAGTTGGTGAGTTTTCAGTCATTTTCACCCATAATATTTAGTTTTAATCCCAAAATGATGACAGCCAAAACTCAAGGCTTCTTATTTGTAGTCCACAAACCAATAGTTGATGTTGTGGTGGCACTGTATGTCTTTCACACAAAGATGCTCTGACAGCACCATTGCCACAGTGCTTCGTATGTACACTTAAGAATTACCTTCTCGATATTTTGTACAAAGTGCCTCACTTTGAGTGGATCTTTGCTTCAGGATGACTCCTATAAATAGTGCTGCTTTTGAGCAGCTGAGTTTTCATTTTTGAGGTTATGTTTACAGGCATCAACAGACACAGCTGATCCTTTTGCCTCACCTGTACTGGCACCATGGATGAAGCTATACTACAGAGGATTACGGTTCCTGCAACTACTGAAACAGTTTATGTGAATCCTCCCAGGGAGACATCAGGCTGTCAGTATGAAATTAACCTAATAACCTTTCATTATTGTTGGAAATTTCTGCTTGGCAAGCACTTTCCTTGCAGGCCTCTCTAACTGACCTGCCCCCTGCTGCTAAATGCATACTTAAATTCATGTGTGTGTGACTACAATTTTTATAGGCTGCCAGAGATGTCTCCATGTGTGGGCACAGTGGTGTTTATGCATAGGTGTATAAACATATAGTTATCGACACTGCAGCAAAAAGGTACTAGTGCTGGGTTGTGTGAACAGCGAGTGGGATTGACCATGGAACATTTTTCCATATGAAGCTTCCCTCTTACCTCTAGCCTTTCCATGCACAGGCGTACTCTTTCAGTGTGTTTCATTGTATAAAACCAGAAGTTGTTTTTTTTTTTTAAATAAATCTAAAATCTTGTTTTCTTTAGTTAGTTTAGTTTGGTTTTACAAACATGCTCCTACATGCTACAAACTTTCACAATCCGTGTCTTCTCGAAGCTAACCAGTGATGCAATAACATGTAATTTCTGCAAATAGAAACCTAACCTGCTGACGTACCTCTAGCTTGGGTATCTTTTATGGTCTGGTGTGGAAATGGAGTCAAACAAAACACAGATTGTTGCCCCATGTGAAACTTGCTCTTTTATGTGGACTGATATGAAAGCCCTCTTATGCCGGTTATGGTTTGCGATGCAGGTTTAATAATATGTTTGTCTCTGTCAGAGCCTTTGTTTCTCTCTCAAAACGATCACATCTTTGCAAGATTGAACTTTTTACAAGTGTAAGCCTGGGATTTTGTGTAGACTTTGTTGGATAAAGTGTGAAAAAGGAAAATAATATTAGACAGAAAATTGGAAATCTTGTTTAGTGTTCTGTGCACCTGTAATCCTCAGCTTGTTTCACTCGTGTACCTTTATCTGTTCTTTTTCTTTTCATCTTTTCATCATATATATATATATATATATATATATATATATATATATAGTGTATAAATATATATAGTGCAAGATGCTAGCAGGCAAGGCATACATGGAACGCCATAACCAAGTGGCCGGCATAGTGTACAGGAACATCTGTGCCGAGTATAACCTGGAAGTCCCGAGGTCAAAATGGGAGATGCCCCCAAGGGTGGTGGAGAATGAACGAGCTAAGATCCTGTGGGACTTCCAGATACAGACGGACAAAATGGTGGTGGCTAACCAACCGGACATAGTGGTGGTAGACAAACAGAAGAAGACGGCCGTAGTGATCGATGTAGCGGTTCCGAATGACAGCAATATCAGGAAGAAGGAACACGAGAAGCTGGAGAAATACCAAGGGCTCAGAGAAGAGCTCGAGAGGATGTGGAGGGTGAAGGTAACGGTGGTCCCCGTGGTAATCGGAGCACTAGGTGCGGTGACTCCCAAGCTAGGCGAGTGGCTCCAGCAGATCCCGGGAATAACATCGGAGATCTCTGTCCAGAAGAGCGCAGTCCTGGGAACAGGACCCTCAAGCTCCCAGGCCTCTGGTAGAGGACCCGAGCTTGAGGGATAAACCGCCCGCAGGGGCGTGCTGGGTGTTAAAAGTTTATATATATATATATACTAGGGGTGCAACGATATTCGTATCGATATTGAACCGTTCGATACAGTGCTTTCGGTTCGGTACGCATATGTATCGAACAATACAAAATTTGTAATTTATTTTATCAACTTTCCTTCTGAAAATGCTGTCTGTGTTGAGCGCTCAGTGAATCTGCTTTCGACTACTCCGCCTAGGCTGCACTGTCGAGCGCAGATCCACTGAGCGCTCAACACAGACAGCATCATCAGAAGGAAGAGCGCAGGGCAAGCTAGCAAGACAGAAGTTAAGCTCTCCTTGCAACATGGCAAATTGAACCTTCCCCACCCTCATTCAGATCTGGCGTTTGGAATTATTTTGGTTTTCATGTGACGTATGACCCTGAAGGTAAGCGCGTCATGGACTTGGTAATTGTGACGTGTATCTTTGTGTGCCACGCAATGCTTAATTACATGGGTGGGAACTAGTGTGTTAGCGAAGTTAGCTCGTTAACGTGTTGGCCGTCTAGCCCCATGCACGGGGCAATCAGGGGTAGCTCGTTAACGGAGATTTGCCGTGTTGTGGCGTTAATGTCATTTCAACAAGATTAACCTGAAAGCACTAGTGGGAACACAACAAATATGACTGCACATTTACATCATCCTAGTGCAAAGACAAGTGGAAGCAGACAAAAACAACAAGCATGCATGCTACAAACTTTACCCGAGTCATTTAGACAGCTGTTAGCACATGATTCTCCTTATGGGGACCTGATATGTTTAATATGCTGCTGAGAATATACCCCAGAAGAAGCGTATAGTATAGCTTTTATTTTGGAAAGAGACATTTCTCTGTAATAAACTCTCTTTTCCAAAGATGAGTGATTCCTCAACCAGGACGTCGGGCTCGCAATATCGCTAGCCCGACATCCTGGGGCTAGCGATTTTTCCAGTCGGGCTACCAAAATCTATCTCTACCCTGCCCGTCGGCCTATCGTAGGAAGGAAAAATATATATGTCAATGCTTTTGCATTCTTTTGGAAATGTAGCTGGGTAATTATGTCATTGGCATCGGTGAGCCACTGTCAATATGTGACATATTGAAATCGCGTTTGAATTTGTGCTTGTTTTTTGCTTTCACTTTGCAATCGCGCGAACTGTGTATAGAGAGCGACAGCACTGATTGGTGAGTGATGATAATTTGTGCACCAATTCCTCTGACATCGTCTT